GCCCTTGCCCGCCATCGAGTTCAGGAGGCTTAGGGTCCCCTCTGCAGCCCGTGCCAAAGGCCTCGGTGGAAATGCCGCTTCCTGGAGGCCTGGCTTACTTGATGGTGAACACACATGTGCAGTGTCCAATCGCAGATGGTCCGGAATGCATGAAGATGGAGGATGTCCCCTGGCTGTGTGCAACAGGCTGCCAGCCTTCTGCCTTGGGGAGGGGTGCGGGAGCAGGCGCAGGGGCAGGGGTGGGGCAGGGCAGTGAGACCGGTGAGAACCCACCGTGGGACTCTTGTGGATTTGGGAAAGATGCGCTCCCCTCATCCCCAGGGCTGTCCAGCTGCTTAGGAACAAGCTCTCGGCCTCCAAGGCCATGGTGGCTGCAGAGAGGACCTCTGGAGAAGAAAGAAGGAAGGTGGGGAGACCCTGGAAACACATCTCAGCCTGGGGTGCAGCCACCCTGGCACTGCCAGCCCCACCTACACTTTCCAGTCATGGTTCCCTTGCTCAGGGAGCCCTGGGGCGGGCTCTGCATCCTGCTCACTAACAAGGTGTCTCATTCTGTACCCTAACCACAAAAGGTCAGGACATGGCACCTAGCACACCCAGTGGGGCAGGTCATTATTGTCCCAGGGGATTTCATGAAGTCAGGGGGGCTGGGGAAGAATGTGGGGTGCATACAGGACCCTGATGGATCCCAGGGGCTGGGGAAGAGTGTGGGGCACCTGCAGGATCCTCGTGGTCCCGGGAGACTGGGGAGGAATGTGGGGTGCACAGAGGACCCTCATGGATCCCAGCGGGCTGGGGGAGAATGTGGAGTACACACAGGACCCTCATGGATCTTGCGGGGGGCTGGGAAAGAGTGTGGGGTATATGCAGGACCCTAGTGGATCCTGGGGGGCTGGGGAAGAGTATGGGGTACATGTAGGACCCTTGTGAATCCTGGGGGGCTGGGGAAGAATGTGTGGTGAGTGCAGGACCCTCTTAGATTCTGGGGGCTGGGGAAGACTGCAAGGTGCACACAGGACCCTCACAGATCCCGGGGGGCACTGGGGGAGAATGTGGAATACATGCAGAACTCTTGTGGATCTTGGGGGGCTGGGGGAGAATGTGGGGTACATGCAGGACTCTTGTGGATCCTGGGGGGTTGGGGCAGAGTGTGAGGTGCACACAGGACCCTCATGGATCCCAGGGGGCTGGGGAAGACTGTGGGCTACATGCAGGACCCTCATGGATCCCGGGGGACTGGGGGAGAGTGTGGGGTGCATGTAGGACCCTCATGGATCCTAGGGGGCTGGGGAAGACTGTGGTGTACACACAGGACCCTCATGGATCCTGGGGGGCTGGGAAAGAGTTTGGGGTATATGCAGGACCCTCAGGGATTCCGGGGGGCTGGGGGAGAGTGTGGGGTGCACGCAGGACCCTCATGGACCCTAGGGGGCTGGGAAGACTATGGGGTACACACAGGACCCTCATGGATCCTGGGGGGCTGGGAGAGACTGTGGGGTGCATGCAGGACCCTCAGGAATTCCAGGGGGCTAGGGGAGAGTGTGGAGTGCATGCAGGACCCTCATGAATCCTGGGTCTACATTGGCGTGATCATGTCCCCAGATGAACTCCCCAAGCCTTTGAAGTTCCTCTGGAGCTGAATCAATATTTAACCCATCTTTCCATTTGTTTTCCATTAGAACGCGCATCCGAAACCCTTCATTAGCCTGTCCGTCCAGAGAATAATGACTAATTTCTGGTGGTAGCTTTCCTTATCCCACAAAGGCACTGTGTAGAACCCTTCCATTACTGTAATTTACTGATGGAAGAGATGCAATTGTAGAGATGATTTCCAAGTCTTGGGGAGGCCGCCACCGACAGCAGCAAGCCACATGCTGCGTGGACACCATCTCTCCCCACCTGGCCCGGGTGTGCGAAGGGTGCCCCAGGTGGGCTTGACAGTGGCGCCTCCAGCTCTGTCCTGGCCTTTGCACAGACAGCTCATTCTGGGACCAGAGACAGACTCCCAACTCTTCAGAGGCTCTGAAAGCCGTGGACATTTAACTCAACATAGTCCTGGAAAAGCTCAGGAGTAGCAGGAAGAAGGCTTGACTCTGGGGTCCTGGTGTCAATGTGTCCTCCTGCTGCCCAGCCGTGTCCAGCCCTGCGAATGTGCTGGCAGCTGGGCTCTCCAGGCTTGGCTTACGAGGACCTCTGAGGCCATGGCTCTGCAATTCACTTTTGTTATCCTAACAAGCAAAGCCAGTCGCGCTTTTGGGAAGACTTTTGCTATTGATTTTTTAAAAAGTAAGACATGGGAGGTTTGATTTGTGATAGAGAGGCCAGGAAAATCCAGGCACCTTTAAATAGCATCCTGGGTCTCGGGGAGAGGCCAGTGGCATCTGTATTAGGGTTACGTGCTGCCCGCTGCCCACTCCACATCTGTGCCCTCTTGGGGGCTCCAGGGTCCTCATCCATTTGTTTCAGCTGTGGGGAGTTAATCTGCCCACCCATTGCCTGCCCCTCAAGGGACTGCTGAGGACCATTATTTCCAGTGAAATAATGTGACATTTATTCCCTTTGGTGACACTGGATGCACCCATGTCTCATAATCCTGAAAGACATAGTCAGGGTGTAATTCACCTCATTCACACTGCAGCCTGGGGCTGACCGAGGGTGTAATTCACCCCGTTCATACTGCAGCCTGGGGCCGACCGAGGGTGCAATTTACCCTGTTCACACTGCAGCCCGGGGTTGACCAAGGGTGTAATTCACCTTGTTCACACAGCAGCCTGGGGCTGACCAAAGGTATAATTCACCCCGTTCACACTGCAGCCCGGGGCCGACCGAGGGTGTAATTCACCCCGTTCGCACTGCAGCCCGGGGCCGACTGAGGGTGTAATTCACCCGGTTCACACTGCAGCCTGGGGCCAACCAAGGGTGTAATTTACCTTGTTCACACAGCAGCCCAGGGCTGACCAAGGGTGTAATTCACCCCATTCACACTGCAGCCTGGGGCTGACCGAGGGTGTAATTCACCCTGTTCACACTGTAGCCCGGGGCCGACCAAGGGTCTAAATTCACCCTGTTCATACTGCAGCCTGGGGCTGACCAAGGGTGCAATTCACCCTGTTCACACAGCAGCCTGGGGCTGACCCAGGGTGTAATCACCTTGTTCACACTGCAGCCCGGGGCTGACCAAGGGTGCAATTCACCCCATTCACACAGCAGCCCAAGGCCGACCAAGGGTGTAATATACCTTGTTCACACAGCAGCCCAGGGCCGACCAAGGGTGTAATTCACCCCTTTCACACTGCAGCCCGGGGCCGACCAAAGGTCTAAATTCACCCTGTTCACACTGCAGCCTGAAGCCGACCAAGGGTGCAATTCACCCTGTTCACACAGCAGCCTGGGGCTGACCAAGGGTGTAATTCACCCTGTTCACACTGCAGCCCGGGGCCGACCGAGGGTGTAATTCACCTTGTTCACACTGCAGCCCAGGGCTGACCAAGGGTGTAATTTACCCCATTCACACAGCAGCCCAGGGCTGACCAAGGGTGTAATTCACCCCGTTCACATAGCAGCCTGGGGTCAACCATGCAGCTGCCTCTGCGAATAGGCATGGCAAAGGTTTTCCTTCCTGTCCCAGAGCCAGGATGCTGCCAACCTCTTTGCAGGGGCCCTGCAGGGGCATGTGGTGCTCCAGGAGCCGGCCATGGCTCTGGGCCCTGGGTGCTCCAAATTTCAATGCACAAATAGCCTTCCATTTGCCCAGCACTGACAGCTTCTGTAGAGCCTGGAAGCCGTCACTCGTTGGGCACTGGCCAGGGGTGCGGCTGCTGGTGAAAATATAGGACACCCCATTAAACTTGAAGCTCAGATCAGAAGGATGACTCTATCAGTGTAAGTTGGTCCTAAATGGTGCTTGGGCCATACTTTGAGGTGTTTTTCTGTCCCTCTGAACTTCACTTTTACCTGAGTGTCTTGTACTTCGGGGCGGCCCCAGCAGAGTGACCTCATCTCCCCCCACCCAAGCTAAGCCAGGCAACGGTTTGGCCCAAAGAGGACCCTTCTCCGTCCCCCATGCAGCCGCATTGGGAAGCTGCTCTCCCCACACGGAAGCCAGCTGGGGGTTGTTAACCTGCAGACCTGCAGCCACCAACCGCATCTGAATGAGCAGGCGGGGGCTGGGGATCCTGCAGGGATGCCCAGGTTCCAACCCATGTGTGCCCTGAGGGTCTGGGTAGCCGCTTCATCTCTCTGGTCTGAGCCTCCTCACTGCTGGTGGGGGGATGCCTGCTTCTTGGCAGTCACAGGGGTCAGAGATGCCAGACATGACACGCTCAGCTAGGGTCCCATACGTGATAAAGAGGGTGCCACCACCTATGCCAAGGTGAAGTCTCAGGAGCAGGCTCTTGGGTCAGCTCTGAGCCAGCAGATGGCCTTAGCCACAGGGGCTCACCTCTGCAAGGGGAATCTGGGCCTCTCTCTCTTCCCGTTTAGCTTGGAATCAAATCTTAAATGTAGCCGGGAGGACTCCAGTGGCCTCAGCTCTCTGAACTCACTGCCTCCCTCAGGGCCCTGGCACGTGTACCTTGCTTGCCCAGCCTCCCTGACAGCCAGGATCCCACCCCAGCCCCGCTCTGGGTACTGCGCCTCCTTAGGCTTCAGTTCCCAGCCCAAGTGTAGCACACAGAGGGGCCTGCCTGGGCCCATGGCTGAGCCAGGACTCCAGTACCCGGGTTTCCTTCCAAGCCCGCCACTCCTGCCATGGCTGCAATCGCTTCTCTTGTGGTCTTCATCCCCCTCGACCCCAAGGCCTGTGACAGCAGGGACTTTGGTGGACGCCTGCTTCGTGCTGTGTGTCTGCTCCCAAGTCCTGCAGCACCATCCTGGTGGTGGGGACTGAGCAGCCCTCCCCAGCCCTCCCCAGCCCTCGGGGCCTGTGCTCAGCCTGCAGAGCCCGGTGGGTCTCCAGCAAGCAAACTCGAAGGTGTTCCCGAGCGTGGCCTTGGCCTCACCTGGCTTGGAGCCCTCGTCCACGGAGCCGTTGTAGACCTGGTTGATGAACTCAGGACGGTTGTCATTCATGTCGATGACATAGATATACAGGTCGATGGGGTTCTCCACCTTGTTGCCGTTCATGTCCACAGCGTGGGCTCGGAGCTGGAAGGCAGCAGAGACACGTCAGGGCCCAGTGGTGGGTGGGCACCCCTACTCAGCTGAGAGTGGCCTGTAGGACCCACAGCATTGGGGTGTAAGGCTGATGGCAGAGGCAGGCTGGCTAGGGGCCAGGGGCTGGACACGTCATGGAATTCTCCGAGCCTCAGCTCTCTCCTCTGCAGAGAGGGTGACACACAGAGCTGGAAGCCAGCCTAAGCCCCGAAGCCCCATGGCCAGGCCCACCCAGGACCTCCCATGCCTGCCTGACTGTTCTGTGAGCCACTGACTGATCTGATCAGGTGTCTGGAGCAGGACAGGTGACCCTCGGATGGGGTCATGTCTGCCCACAGTGGAAACAGAAAAGGCATTTGTGCCTAATTGGGTGGGGGCTAGTCCCCAGGGGAGATGAGGGTATACAGAGAGGCCAGAGCTGGGGCTGGGAATTGGGTCCAGTTGGGTACCCACTGAGAGCCTGGCCTGGACGAGCTCCGGGCTCCTCTGCGTCTGCGTGACCCATCAGCTCATGGTGCTTGGCACAACAGGGGAAAATGGGTGCTGCTGGGGACATCCATGGAGAGGCCAGGCCAGGAAGCCGGTGAGGAGCTCCTGGGAACATCACAGGGAACCGCCTTCAGGGTGAATAGGGAAGAGTTGGACTTGGGCTGGAAGGTTCCATGGCAGCTCTCAGAGTTACCCCTCCAGTTCTGGATTTGTTCTTTCACTCATTCATTCATTCATTCATTCATTCCGTAGCTGCCCATCAAGGGCCTGGAATGCCAGGCATGGGGCTGGACCCTGGATTACTGTGCACTGAAATCAACCAGAGTGGCTGCCTGGAGCGTCCATCCCAGAGACAATGGACACCAGGAAGAGAAGAAGTCATTAGTGGGTGTGGTGGCTGCCAGGGAGGCCTCTCAGAGGAGGGGCTGCCTGAGCTGAGACCTTGAGAACCGGGCAAGGAAGAGGACATGGAGAGGCTGGGCGCTGCCAGCAGGCAAGGGGGCTGCTGAGGGGCTGCTGGAGAGTGGAAAGTGTGTCCCAGGCCTCTCTACTCAGAGCTGGATGGTCACCCAGAGGGGTTCTCAGCTCACATCTTTCTGCCAAAACCCCACATCACCCTCAAAGTTGGACACAACAGACCTCAAGGTATTGCAGCAAAATATCACCAAGCCCAGGGTGGCCAGGAGAGGAGCCCCACGCCGGAGGGGTCTCCATGTCCTCCCCTTGGTGGCCAGCCTCACATGGCCACTCCCGTTTCCCCGACCTCTGGGGATTGGGAGGGCCCTGCATTCCACACCTGCCCCAGGGAAACCTGGGAGCTAATTGTGTCCATGCCCACACCAGTGTTCTGGCTTCATTCCAACAATCCAGAGTGGAATTTTACCCCCTACACTGCATGTTTAAGGAAGATCTGGAGGCTGGCTTTCCCCCAGGAGGCAATCTGTGCTGTAGTAAAGAGACAAACCAGGCCCGACTCCTGGAGGAACTGCAGACTGCAGCCCAACACGTGATTGCACACGCCAAGTCAGTTGTACATATCACGTGTGAACAGCCTGGAACGCCATGTGGTGGCTATAACCAGCCGCCCCTGCCCCGTCGCTGCAGATTCCTCCATCCCTGACCCATCTGCGGCTCCATCCTGCTGTGGAGCTGCTTCCATGGGCGGCGGTTGTGAAATGCAGCCACGAAATCACACGCCCAGTCAGGGGTCATGGGTCCTTGGGAAAAAAGTTATTCTGAGCTACAATTAATGTTATTATCTCCTATCGAAAGCTGTTTCAGGTGCTATCTTTAGCAGCAGGAGCAGGCAGAGTGCAGATAACGAGGAAACGCTACCTCTGCCTCTGCCCACGGCACTCCTTGTCCCACTCCCTGCCTGATTCCCCAAAAGTTTTAATTACATTTGACAGCTCCTGTTGGAAATCTCCCCCATCCATCTCTCGGGCTGGGCACACCTGGGGTGGGCCCGAGAGAGGTGACCTCGCTTTGGCAGTGGAGGAAACAAGCTAATGTGGGTGGAGGAGTCCTCTGAGCTTTCTGCGACCTGCAAATCTGAGCATCCGGCGCAGAGCACATTTCCCACAACGCTTTAAATAGGACATTTTGTTTTTTTGAGACAGAGTCTCCCTCTGTCACCAGGCTGGAGTGCAGTAGTGCGATATTGGCTCACTATAACCTCCGCCTCCCGGGTTCAAGTGATTCCCCTGCTTCAGCCTCCTTAGTAGCCAGGACCGCAGGCGTGCGCCACCATGCCTGGCTAATTTTTTTTTTAATTTTTATTTTAGTAGAAACAGGGTTTCACCATGTTGGCCAGGATGGTCTCCATCTCCTGACCTCATGATCCACCTGCCTGAGCCTCCCAAAGTGCTGCGATTATAGGTGAACCACTGTGCCAGGCCTGAATAGGACATTTTTCTATTCTTGTTCTGACAAGATTAGGAAATATAATATGTGGGCGTGGCTTGCATTGGGTGGGATGCGCTGGGTGTGGCTTGCATTGGGTGGGATGTGCTGGGCGTGGCTTGTATTGGGTGGAATGTGCTGGGTGTGGCTTGTATTGGGTGGGATAAACTGGGCATGGCTTGCATTGGGTGGGATGCACTGGGCGTGGCTTGCATTGGGTAGGATATGCTGGGCGTGGCTTGCATTGGGTGGGATGTACTGGGCGTGGCTTGTATTGGGTGGGATAAACTGGGCATGGCTTGCATTGGGTGGGTTGTGCTGGGCGTGGCTTGCATTGGGTGGGATGCACTGGGGGAAATGTATCTGTTGACAGATGACCCTCCAGGTGTGCCTGGGATCTAATTCTCCCGCCTCTCAGCTGCTCTTCTTTCTTCCTATCTTAATTGTGGATGGGGGTTCTCTTCAAGGAGTGTGGAGCTGGGAACAGTTCAGGGGGCCTTGGGAATGGTGGGGGGTGCACGTGTTGGAGATTTGCTTCATCAGTCACACTGGCACCCACACGCACGGTGCGTTCGCTGGGGCCAGGCAGTGCCATAAGAACCTAAACATGTGAACGCCAGCTTCCATCAGCGTCCGTGAGATTGGCATTGTCTTGGTTCCTGTTTTGCAGATGGGGAAACTGAGGCTCAGCAAGGTTAGAAAACGTTCAGAAGATGACAGTGTGTGGCTGGGTGAGCTAGTATGTCTAACTTATGGAATCCTTAAAGGAATATTCTGGAGCATCACCCTGCAAAGCCAGCAGTGACCACTTGTGTGTGTCATGCGTTTGAGTGTTTACCGGCTGGCTTTAGGGTGACAGGTGTCACAGTCGTCAGGACACCCAGGCTGGGGGTGCATCCTTGCCACCCTCGTTAGCCCACAGAGCTGGGTGGAAAATGGAACAGGATCAAAGGCACTGGGGAGGTGGGAACTCAAGGTGGCCCTGAGGATGTCAGGTGCTGGCCCTAGAGGCGAAGACAGATGTGCTCCCTTCCCACTGGGCTACGTTTTTGACCTTAAGACGGAGCTGGCTGGGCATCATCCAACCACAGGGGCCTTTAAAAGCTGAGTGTTCTCCAGTTAGAGACAGGAGAGAAGGACATGCGGGCATACAGTGCACCTCTGTCTCCCTCTCTGTCTCCGTATCTCTATCTCTGTGTGTCTGTGTCTCTCCCTAAGTCTTTGGGCGGTAGCTATTTCTTGGCAGTAAGGGCTGTTGAGTCCCCATTCCTGGGCCTGTTGGGGATGTGTGGTGATGGCGGCCCAAAGCCCATTTTTGGGAGCCAGCAGCCACACCGAGGGCCTATCTCTTGCCGCACGGCTGGTGAGCATCAGCTGGAGTCTCTGGTTGGTTCTGCGGATCTGCCCTGGTCACTCCTGTGGTCCCAGCACATGAGGCCCAGGCACTGTCAATTAGGTCTCCCCAACACCCAGCCAAGGCAGGAGCCTTCCCAGGAGGCAGCTGTGAGGGGCTGATAAGGCCCCGGGGCAGACCGGGGTGAGGGCAGTCACCTCCCAGGTGGGCTCTCCAGGGTCCATCCAGCCCCATTCTTGGGCCTGAGATCTGGCGTGGATAAGCTGGATGATTCCCTGCCCCTAAACAGCCTCCTTCTAGTGCGAGATGGAAAGAATGGACCCCCCAGTACTCAGTAGACGAGAGAAGCTACAGGGTCGGGTCCTGTTCAGCCACTGGCTGAAGCCAAGCGAAGGTAGAGACCACACAGACATCAGTGTCAGGCAGGGCTGAGTCCTCCACGGTTGTTCCTGAGCTACCCAGAGGGAGCACCCCGCCCTGAAGCACAGGCTTGTGAGGAGAGCCTCACTCGGGCAACCTGAAGTCCTCAGAACAACCCATGAGGAGGAGGAGCGGAACGGAGGCCAGGAGAGGCCACATTATTTGCCTGACAGCACACACCTGGCCAGGGGCAGGTCTGGGCTTGACCCTCAAGATCTGGCTCCAGCCTGTGCAACTCTGCTGGTGTGGCCTTCACCAGCACGTGATGGGCAGCCCCAGACCCTGAGGTGGAGGGACGTGCACCCCCTGCTGCTTTCACCACGGTCCAGGCCCCTCCGCCCAGCCAGGGTGAGTGTGGCCCCGGGGGGAGAAGGTCTGTCCCCTGCCCCCACCCCCGGAAGCTGAGGCCGCAGCACCATGTCTCTCCGGCATTTGTCTTTCTTTGCACATCTGGTGACAGGGAACCAGCGCAGCTCTCCTTTCACAGGCTCTTTCTGCTGCTGTCAGGGACGGTGGAGGAAGTGAAAAGCCTGCAGGACGCATGTCCCAGACTGGAGGGGGTGGGAAGGACCATGGGCTGGCGCCGAGGGCAGCATGAGGGCCCTAAGGGCGTGGAGCGGCTGGTGACCCTAACTCCCAGCCCCACGAGCGGTCCAAACCAGAAGCCCATGTGGATGGAGATCTGGACTGGCCTGACTGGCATCCGGGGAATGTGTTTCCCAGGCCCGTCCTGGGCTCACCCCGCAGAATTAGAGACAGGGGGCAGTGCCCAGCGACATGGAGATGGCCCTTTCCCTAGCCTCCCAGGAGATTCTGCTCCAGGCCAGAGTTGGAGCACCGCTTGTAGATTAGGGCAGGCATGGGCCCTGCTGGGGGCCTGGTGGGGCTGGGATGGCCGCCCCGGGCCCCGGTTCCCGCCCGGGCATGGACACTCACATGGTAAGAGGCGTGCTCCTCCCGGTCCATGGGCCGCGTGACGTACATCCGGCCCGACATGGAGTCGATGCTGAAGACCTCCATGGGGGGCTGGTCGGCGCCCACGCCAGTGATGCTGTACCGGATGGGGATGTCGTTATCTTTGTCGGACCGGATCTGAAAGGCAGGAGCGAAGCGAGAAGAGGTCAGACTGCGGAGAGGGTGGCCGGGGCCGGGCGTCTGGCGCACATCCCCTCCCACCAGTTCCTCTAGCGTGACCAATCTGAGGTACAGTGGGGACCACAGCTGATTGTTCATCCACTTTAGAAACTGGAAGGACCGTCGGTGGTCAGGGGTTTACTGAGAGCCACAAACTGCAGGTCCAGGGTCCGTCAGTGATAGGGAGGCACGTGTAACACTCAGTTCGGTGTCTGCACCGAGAACTCGGATACCTGGCGGACATCCACAGCACAGGTGAAGACAATGGAAATGACGGTTTGAAGTGGGCTCCTGTTCCGACGTCAAACCCGCGTCACAACAAAGGCAAGAAAACAGAGCGGCCTCCACAGTTTCGAGGGAAAAGCCTGGGGCCCAGTGCATGTGTGTCCTGGCCTTTCTAATTGTTTAGAGACCATTAAATGACAGTTACCGGGGTCCCAAGTCCAGAGTAAGCTAGGTAAGACTGCGAACTTGGGGAGAAAATGGAAAGACACAGGTGGACGTGAAACTCGAGTTTCCATGGAGTGGGGAAAGGTTAGGCAAAGGCTTCATTTTATTTTGGGCACGCAGTGAGATTTATACACGTTTCTGGGAACAGAAAGGACACTGGTAGCCTAAAGAATCAGACCTGCCTTTCACTCAGCTGAAGCAAAACCTCTTGTGGTGAAGTGGGGGCCTGGTGATCGCTGGCCCAGACTACCACAGGTGAGCGGTGCATGGCGGCTGAGTAGAACTTATCTCAGAAACTGAGGGCTGGCTCCTCAGCAGGCACCTCATCTCTGCAGCACAATGACAGTCACAGGCTAGCCTTCATACAGGCAACAAACAGGTTTGATAGAGTGCCCTTTCCAGTTCAATTTGCACCAGAGAAAGCAAGCCATCCCCCAGATAAACTGCAGTTTGTGGAGAGTTCAGCCTGGTGGAGAACATCTTTCCTCAGCCAGCATTTAGCATCTGCACCCCAGAACTGCTCCTCTGCATAGGAGGATGGTGTCCGGCACACCGGCCACCCCAAGACTGTCTCATGTCGCAACAGAAAACAGCTGTTTTCCCTATAGGAAGAGGGAGATGCTGTTTCCATCACACAGGTGCCATGGGGGTCAGTGCAGTGTGGGGCTGCTCATGTGCTGGGAGACACGGCCAGGAGAGGAGGTCTGCAGGCCTGTGGTGTGTGGGCACACACACACACACTCTCCTGTGCACACGTGTGCAGACTGTGAGGTGCGTCTTCGTTCCGCCCACATGCACCTCCCTACTTTCCCATGATCAGGTAGGCTCTTCCCAGCTGTGCCCTGAGTTGCACACACCAAGCAGGGCTTTGGAGACAGCGGCGGAGGGAAGGCTGGGTCTGGGCCCCTCAACAGTAGCTGGGAAAAGCCTCCGACTTGGTCTTAGTCACCCCTCCCTCTACTACCCAACGTCACTAGCAGTGTGACTCCTGCGGCCCTTCCGTGGGCAAAATGCGTCTCTTCCACCCGTGACACCAGGGTATATGTGGTAACGTCTAGATAGAGGGAAGAGCCTCCCTCCCTGTCGCCTCTGATGGCTTGCTCCTCGGGGGTAGGAGAAAGGCTAAGAGATCACATTCCGAGGACAGCATGTGTGTACCGTGTGTGTGTGTGCATGTGTGTACTGTGTGTCATGCGTACATGTCAGAATGTGCATTTGTGTGCATGGTGTGTGTGTGTCCAGTGCTGTGTGAGGCAGCTGTTGAGACCAAATTGATTCTCTCTGACCCCGACTTTCTCCAAGGCCTTCCTTGCCCAGTGCCCCATGGGCTCTCCCAGACCTTGCTCTGCTCCGAAATCCATATCCTGATGTACAACTTAAGGGGGTGTATCACTGGTGGGAAAAACCCTAATTCTGAGAGTGTTCGTGTCCATCTGTGGGCTGAACCTCACTGACCGTGCAGGGGGACGGCTCTGGCTGGTGGGTGCTCCAGTGCAGGGTATTCCGGTAGGTGGGTCCCTCCCTTCCCTGGAATCTGGGTGTGACACTCTCGCTCCCCAGCTTCCTCCCTTGAAAGCTTAGGGTCTCCACCTCCAAGGTGTCTGCGATTCAAAACCACACAGGGTGACTTTTCTCCAGTTTCAAGTTCATTTGAAATCAGGCAAATCCCCTCCCTGGGGGAGACTCCGCCAGAAGTTTTCATGTCATCCAGCTTTTCTGAGGACAAGAGCCGGCCTGCCAGGTGGAAGTCCCCGGGTGAACACTATCGCTGAGCCCCATAAGTTATTTTAATGTAGACATCACTTTACACTAACCTTCCGCCATCTGTTCTGTCCTCTAACAACACATGGGTGACAACGTGGGTCTCCACGGCCTCCTGAGCCCGTGGGCATGGCAGCGGTGCGTCTGTGCTGTCTATTCATGGCCTACTGTGGGCTTCTGTGGTGTTTTTCTCATTTGCCAGACACAAATCAAGGGGAAATGGCTCTCACCTGATCTGGCGAATGCACTAGCACAGTATTTCTTCTTAATATGGCAAACCGTGGGAGAATTCAGAGCATTTTGAGAGCCGATGCTAAGAGCCCGCACACAGCCGCCAGCCCCCTGCCGTGTTTCAGAGGAGGCCCCAAACTGGCCTAGAGAATAAGCAAATGTGGCCTGATGGCCAAAACTGAATGAGATTTCCTTGAAAAAACTTTCTCTTTAAATAGGTGGTGGATTATTTTCAGCAGTCTCATCATTAAATTTCCCTACGAAAGAGGGATTGATTCACCCAAAACTGTAGCAACAACGCACAGTGAACCTGCATTGCCTGTCCTTTGGGCTGCTGAAGACCCATCACTTGTGCCCACCTCCTGCCTCCAGAAGACTGGACCTGGCTCCATGCGTTCTCCTCAACCCAGTGTCACTCAGCCCGTTGAGGGCCTGCTGTGTGCTCTGGGTGCCCTTCTCACCCAACGCCAAAGCAAGCATCCGAACTCATCAGCCCTCAGAGAAGTGCCGCCACACACACTACACAAGCACATGCTACACACACACACACACACACACACACACAAACATACACACATACACAAACAACACACATACCCACTTAATACACACACACATATGTACACACAACACATAAATATACCATACATACATAAACACACATACACACAACATACACTAAATACACAAACATACATAAACACACACAAATACACAATACACACAGACACCCTGCACACACACAAACATGTACACATGACACAAACACAAACATGCATACACAGTACACAACACACACCATATACTCAATACACAAATATATACACAAATGCCATACACAAATACACACACAACATACAATACACACATAAGCACACACAAATACATACATGCACATACAGGCACACAGTGCACAATGTACACATTCAGTATACACACAAACACACACGAATACACATACGCACGAACACACAGAACACAATACACACAAATCCTCCCCCACGCACCACAGCAGGGTACCCTTTCAGAATGGAAGGGGGTGGCCATTCGGCTTTCACAGGCTCTGCCCGGCCGCTCATCAAGCCTCCCTTGGTTCCTGTCCTGGCATTTAAAGACACTTTTAAAATCTTCCGGATCAAGTTCTTCCAGCAGGATGTAACTCTTCGTTGAAGTGTTTCAGCTTTCTCCTATGATATGAAGCCCGGAGACGTTCCCAGGAAAACAGATCACAGGCCCTCGCCTTTGCAGTTGGGAGTTCTGAGCTGCCTGGAGCAATTCCCCTCTCCATGGAATAAAAGCTTTGAATGGTGACAGCAGGCTCCTCAGCTGTCCGCCCCATCCGGAAGGCACAGGACGCAGGCAGGAGGGCTTGCACTTGGCCTGCTGAGATGGGAAATTTTCTTTCTTTTTTTTTCCTTTTTCTTTCTTTTCAAGACAGGGTCTCACTCTGTCCTCTAGGATGGCGTGCAGTGCTGCGATCTTGGCTTACGTGTCCTCAGCACAGCCTCAGAAGCCTCTTCATTCACCTGAAGCAGGCATAGAAGAGGAGGCCCAGGAACCTCCACCCTCAGCCTGGATTCCTTAAGGGACCATTGAAAAAATCCCAGACTGTCAGCCTGACCTGACCTTCTCATCCAGCCCCTTCTGAAGTGGGAGGGACTGAGGCCCAGAGGGGCTGAGGGACTTGACGAAGGTTCACGAGTCAGTGACAACCCAGACGGAGTTCCCAGCTCCTGTCTCAGTGTCACGCTGCCCGCCTAAGTAGCCCCTGAAAGCAGGACGGGGGCAGAAGGGTTCCCTCCCTGCCGTTCACAGGCTCTGAGTGTCTCCCCTGTGCCCCTGGATGCTCCACAGACGAGCATCCTGGACTTCTCACTCCAAATGCAGCTTTGGGGGCGCATTTGTAGAGCTGGTTGGAGTGAGAAGGCCAGGATGCTGAAGCCCCATGATTTTTGAGACAGGGTCTTTCTCTGTCGCCCAGGATAGAGTGCATGGTCACGACTCACTGCAGCCTTGAACTCCTGGGCTGAAGTCATCCTCCCACCTTGGCCTCCAGAGTACCTGAGACCAGACTGTGTACCACTGCACCTGGCCGATTTAAAATTCGTTGTAGAGATGGAATTCCACAGTGTTGGCCAGTCTGGTCTGGAACTCTTGGCCCCATATGACCTTCCTGCTTCGGCCTCCCTAAGTGCTGGGATTACAGGCATGGGCCACTGAGCCAGGCCCCACCCCCTATACTTTTAGAAGTCTCTCTCTAAAGTCCTAGACTAGAACTCACTTCATTGGAAAGCGATGATGAAATTGTAACCGTGTCCAGCGTGAGATTCTTCTAGCTTACTGCAAAGTGCAATTCCAAAGCCCCTGCCACGGTGCTGGGTGACCAGCAAGGTTCATCGACGTGAAACCTGTTCTTACCAAATTAATGGGACCAATGTGGGGCCGAGCAAGTGTTCTTACTTGTTTTCCCCCAAATCTTCCTTGATTCTTGAGCATTACTTAAGAGGCTTAAAGAT